ACCTCCTGTCTTAGCAGGAACAGTGGCCTTTCCTGACTCTCCTTCAACCCATTCTGGTTCTTACTGTTGGATATTTTAGCCCAGCCAAGGCTTGTCCATACCCAGACAATGCTCACACGTGGCTCAGTAGGGGCAGAGACCTAGCCTAGTCCATCCTACATCTACCCTGGTTCTCCAGAGCACCAGATGGTGCTGGAGTCTAGCCCAGCTTGGTGTGTCCAGTCCCAGTCCACACTTGTGCCAAGGGAGACTGCAGCCATATCCAGACCAGAACACAGCCCCCACTCCAGCCCCTACACTCCTCAGTGGGAACCCCAACCTAGGTAGGGTGTCCTCTTAGCCCCTCAACCTGGCCTGTTCCCAACCATGGATCTGGCCTGCTTGACAAACCTGTAGTCTTCGCTTTTGCATGGTGTGTGGTGGTCAGCATTGTTCGGTGATAACAAGTTCTACACAGGACTCATAAGTAGGCTGGTATATCAGTCTGACCCATAAAGATCATCCGGTCTCTCTCCTCCAAACCACCAGGTCTCAGTACCCTTGCTTACCTTCAAGGAAAAGTTACTCTGTCATTGGGAGTCCTTCAGGATTGATTTGCAACCCACAAGCACAGTGGGCTCAACATGGACGTACCTAGGCAGCAATTCCATACCCCCAAAACGCCAGAGCTTGCTGCTGGGCGGTCTGCAGGTGGAGCTTGGCACCAAATGGCGCACTTACTGCCAAGGGCCCAGCTCACCGTGTGGTTGCGATGGCTGGCCGCAAGCAAGGAGTCCGACCCAGCCTCGCCTGGGACCTCCCAGCAGCTGCTGGAAATTCTCTTACCCAGACTCCAAGGTCTCACACTCCTGGTCCCATCCACCGCATGATATTGGTCATGGGTGGAGCTGGGGCCTGCCCTGTTCCCAGAGTTCCCGTTTCAGCATACTCACCAGGAAAGGAATAGCCTCTGGAGCCCAGGCAAGATTTATTTATTTTTGTTGAAAAGTCAGATATACAGAGAGGAGGAGAGACAGAGAGGAAGATCTTCTGTCCGATGGTTCACTCCCCAAGTGGCTGCAATGGCTGGAGCTGAGCCAATCCAAAGCCAGGAACTTCTGTGTCTCCCACGCAGGTGCAGGGTCCCAAGGCTTTGGGCTGTCCTCAACTGCTTTCCCAGGGCACAATCAGGGATCTGGATGGGAAGTAGGGCTCCCAGGATTAGAACCGGTGCCCACATGGGATTCTGGTGCATGCAAGGTGAGAATTTTAACTGCTATGCTATTGCACCAGGCTGGAGCTGGTACTTAATAGAGGATGCCAGAGACTCAAGCAGGGGCTTACTCCCCTGCACTACATGCCCATCCTAGGGCTTGTGTTTCATTTAAGAATGAAATTATTGATACAAAGCCCACATTTTCACATATATCACAATGCAGTTTTGGAAATTTGGCAATACTTTCCATCCTACCGTACCCGTCCTACCCATATACTCACCCAACCTCTTCCTTCCTTCTCTCTCTTCCTTCTTCTTCTTCTTCTTCTTCTTTTTTTTAGTTTTTACAGTAGTATACTTTCATTTCACTTTACAGTACAGGCTTAACATTCTATTAAGTCAAGAGGAGGACTTGCCTCTCAAACACAGCTGATTTCTAGATGGTGTGTAAGATATGAAAATGATATTGTATTTGCTGATTAAGGCATATTTTTCTCCTTTACAGAGATAAAACTTTTTTTTGAAAGGTTCTGTATATTTTCCCAGAGCTGTGCACATTTTATTTAGCATAATAATAATGTAGTGACTTAGAATGCAACTTGCTGGTTTAAATCTTGACTTTCGTATTAGCCCACTGCATCACCTTAGGCAAATTATTTAACCTTTCTAGACTTTATTTTTCATGTGGTGCAATAGGAGTCATAGCAACAGTATTTGTCTTAGAGAGTTGTTGGGATGACTCATTGAATAAATATTTGTAAATACCATGTGCCTGGTACATGGTAGGTACAGTAAAAATATCCATTGTTTTATTGTTAGAAATCATATCTTCTATGGGAATGACATTGTGGTATAGTGAGTGGAGCCTTCTGTGGTCATATAGGCACAGGATCCTGTCCTGGCTGCTTTGCTGCTGATCCAACTCCCTGCTAACAGGCCGAGGAGAGCAGCAGAAGGTGGCACAAGTGTTTGGGTCCCTGCCACACATGTGAGAGACCTGCATGAAAATCCTGGCTGAGGAGTGAACCAACAGATGAAAGAACTCTCTCTGTCTCTCCCCACTCTGTTTCTAGCTCTGACTTTCAAACAAACAAATAAATAGATAATGAAATAAGTAAATAAAAATTCAAAAAGAAATTATATCTTATAGATCTTTCTTTCCATTAGATTCAGTGTGCTAGAAGAGCAGAGAGCTTGCGGGTTTCTTTTGTTTGCTTTTTTACTTTTTCTTCCCTGGCTCATCTCATCACCCTGATTTTCATACTTTGATTTCATGGTGACTGACACAGACACATGTGTGGGGGAGTGTTAGACATGTGACACCCCCCTCCACCCTGCCTTGCCTCTTTTTTCCCTACCATCGATTCGCATGCAAATATCTCCATGAGGACTTGTAGTCCACCATCCTCACTCTTACAAGTTTCATTTATTTATTTATTTGCACATAGACGTAGAGGATTAGACTGCTATTTTATGAGCCTTTTGGTTTTATTTACAGGTTAAGAGAGTTTGCAGAAGAGAGTTAAAAAACGTAGACATGTTCCTCTTGACCCAGAGGAAAGGTGGGAAGGGGCACTTGGTGGCCTCTTTGGAACTTGTCCTCTCCTGAGAAAATCCTGAGCTCTAGTGTTAGAAAGTTGGGTGCTGGCCTTTAGGAGACGCTGTTGTCAGGGTTGTTTTAACCCAGGGAAGGAGGCGGGGAAGAGGAGGGGGAAGAGAAGAAGGCAGTGATGATGTCATCAGGAAATTAACATGAGTCACTGGCAGCCAAGAAGTCAGTCTTCACTCGTCTAGGCGAGGTTCCCTTCCTGCACAAATAGGAGTGTCGTTGGTCTTCGTAGTGCGCAGAGATTTCTGACTTTTTTCCATTTCAAACTTAGATTTTGTTTACGGCCATACCACCCTGAACACGCCCGATCTCGTCAAACTCAGTTTTCAGGAGGTTTTCCTGAGCACCACTGACCTTCAGAAGAAGTGCGGGAGTTTGAACTGAAGCAGGTATGTACATTTCTACCCCACCACCCTGGGATCTCACGCTCTGAACTTCCCTTTGTCACAGGAACTTGCTCAAACTGTCACACTGGCACGATCGGTGCCCAGAATTCTTGGGACCTGCTGGGAAAATGAAAGTTAGTAAGAGTAATTAAAAAAAAAAAAACAAGCTAAGAAGTTCCCAACATAGGTAACTGGTAGCCATTTGCTACGAGCTGGGACCATGTTTGGCAGGTTGACTGTCACAAAGAGACTATAGGATGCGTGTATCAGAAACCAGTCATTTAACCTCAAGGTTAAATGAAGAAGACTTCCAGGATGATTACATTAAGAGACCTTATCTAACAACAAAGTAATAATATATTTGTTGCATAAAGTCTGAGAAAGTTAGATGTGGGTGCAGAAGATTGATGCAATCTCGAGCTACACTAATTCCATGTAACCGCATTTTGTGGGTGAGGTTTTAGGGTTAGCTTTGTTCTCCTTTTAGCACATATTTTTCTGTTTCTGGAAACACTTGATTCCCAGTGAGTGAATATATGCCTTAGTCTTTTCAGAATTAGTATGATGGGAATTTTATCAATGCATGGCTCTTCCGATGAGAATGAAATGTAGCAGAGAATTCCCAGAATTTATAAACTGGTCAAGTTAGACACATTGACAGGCCATTTGTAACTTCCTACACTGATTTGAGTAATTCTGGACCAAAATCATGTTCTTCCATGACTTAGGGTTACAGCTTCTGGTTCTGGGAGATAGACACCTGTTCTGTTATGGTTAGCAGTTGGGAGTTAGGATGTAGCAAATACGTTCATATGATTGCCTTATGGCTACACCTACAGTTCATTTCCAATGTGTCATTGGGTGGAAATGGATTCTGAATTGAAGAGCTCTGCACAGGCTGCCAGGCCAGAGAGAAATTTTACTTGATGTGCCTTGGCCCTCTTCCACGTGGGACACTTTAGAAGACATTAGGACCTGGGGTTAGTGGTCTTGTATAGTATATAAAGTTACTCTCTGTGACACATTTTTTTTTTTAGCAAAGGCAGGAGTTTATTGATATGATCAAGCATTTTTAAAGCATTTTAAAAGGGATTTGTTTTTATTTGGAAGGTAGATTTACAGAGAGAAGAAGAGACCACTCCCCAAGTGGCTACAATGCTCAGAGTTGAGCCAATCTGAAGCCAGGAGCCGGACCTCCTCTAGCTCTCCCATGTAGGTGCAGAGTCTCAAGGCTTTGGGCCACCTTAGATTGCTTTCCCAGGTCACAAGAAGGGAGCTGGATGGGAAGTGGAGCAGCTGGGACATGAACTGGTGTTGTACGGGATCCCTGCACATGCAAAGCGAAGATTTAACCAGTGAGCCATGGCACTTATCACATATGGACATCAGTTCATGCTCTGGTTGCTCTACTTCCAGTTCTAACTGCCGCTAAGGGACTGTGAAAATAGCGGAAGATGGCCCAAGTTTTTGGGCTCCTACCTCCTACCCATGTAGGAGACTTGATGAAACTCCTGTCCCAGCCCTTGTTGTTGTGGTCATCTGGGTCAGTGAGTCAGCCGACACTTGGTCCCATCCTTGACTCTAGTTTTCAAATAAATAAATAAATTCTAAAGGAAATGAAAAAAAGAAATCAGGGTAAATTGAGTTCTGATTAACAATCCCCCTTAAGCCTTCTAATGGACACTTGTAAGTTCTGGGGGATGCTGGAGATGCTGGGGTCGGTTTTCTGGGCTGTTGGTCCTTGGAGAAGCCTCAAATTTCTCAGACTTCCTGGGATGTCTATTGTCTAGGAGAGAGGAAGCTGGGGGTTGAGCAAGAGGCGGTGAAGCCTGGTCTCCTGGTCCTCACTCGTGCTGAGCCCTCTCTGCCTCTGGCAGGGTGGCCATGGCATCCGGAGATCGGAGTCTGAGTTTCATCTTGGATCAGAAAAACCTTCGTGAGCTGCTTCTGGAGCTCGACTCACAGCTGGGGGCCCAAGAGGTGGAAAGCCTCAAGTTTCTCTGCCTGGATTTGGTCAGTAAAAAGAAGCTGGGGGAGGCAGACTCGGCCTTGGATATTTTTGAGCTCCTTTTGGCCTACGAGCTCGTGCAAGAACAGAATATTTTCTTCCTCGCGGAACTCCTCTACATCATCAAGCAGATCAAACTGTTGCAGCACCTCGGGTACAGCAAAGAGGAGGTGGAGCATCTGCTGCCCAAGCGAAGGAAGGTGCCTTTGTTCAGGTGAGGCCGGGAGGGAGGGGACTGGCTGGGAGGAGGTGTCTCTGTTTCTAGCCACTGGCTTTTTTTTTTTAGTTAATTAATTAATTAATTAGAAAGTCAGAGGGGGAGAGATTGAGAGAGTGAGAAAAAAAGAGAGAGAGAGTTGTTTTATCTCCTGGTTCACCCACTCCCCAATTCCCCGCCAAGAGCCAGGAGCTGGGGCTGCTCCATGCTGAAGCCAGGATTTAGGAACTCCATCAGAATCTCTGATATGAGTGTGAGGAACTCAAGTATATGGGTCATTTTCTACTGCCTCTTCCCATCCCAAAAGCAAGGTGCATTAGCAAGGGGTAGGATGGGAATCCAAGCAGCCTGAGTCTCAAACTAGCTCTCTGAGAGGTATGCCAGCATGGCAGGCGGTGACTTCATTCCCCGTGCCACAATGCTGGCCTCTGAAAGTGTCTAGTGACTTGGTGATTAGAATCCTTCAAGTCCTTCAGCATATGGACGACTCTTGGTCAGCTAAAGGAATGATGAATTCTGGAAATCCATTCTGTTTGTTAAACATCTGAGGGATATTGGTGTTGGGAATGAGACACTTAGCTTTTCTGACTACAGATGATACGGCAAGCTTGATATTGCTGTGATTCCCTTATGTTAAAAAGTTATTTATTTGAAAGACAGACAGACAGACAGACATACAGAGATATCTTCCATCCACTGTTCAACTCCCCATGCTCAGAGCTCAGTCTGCACTGCCCACGTGACAGGGATGCACCATTGGAGTCCATTGCTTGCCAACACCCAGGGCGTATGATGGCAGGACACCAGAGCTGATATGGGATGTGGGCTTTCGAAGTGGTGTCTTAATTTGTGGCAAATGCCTGTCCCAGTCCTTTTTCAACCTGTGGTGGGCAATCCAGTATTGGCTGCCTTCAGGTCTTCTCCCACAAGGACATCTAAATTAATGTTGGATTTCTAAGATGGGACCCAAAGCTGGTGGGAGTGGGGGATGGGTTGAAATTGGGTATATCTTCCTAATGTGCTGGAAAGTAGCACTAGACCCAGAATCTGGAGACATGCCTTGGCAGCTTGCCATGCTAGTGGGCACCTTGGAAGCTCAGAGTTGTTTTCAAGTCTCTAAACTACTCCCAGAGTTGATCCTTCACATGCCGGATAACATGTGTAAAAATGCTTGATTGACTGATGTGTGCAAGTATGAAAATTTATTTGTCATTTTGGGTGTATGTCTTAGAAAGATGCTCTACGACCTGTCAGAAGGCATCAGCGCAGAAACCTTAAACAGCATGAAGTTCCTTCTGGGAGGGTCACTGCCCAAGTCTGAGATGGTGAGTGCGTCCTGGAGATGGGGACTATGTAGCACTGTGCTGCTTGGCAGTGACTCCGAAGAGGCTGGAAGGGGATTCCATGGAGGCTTCTTCCTCACAGTATGCAGACTTACCAGGGTTAAAATATCTGTTTTGTTGGATGGGCCTGGATTCTACACTCTTTCTCCTACTCAATCTGTGGTGTGGGCAAATGACCGAAGCGCTCTGGGCTTCTGTCTTCTTACATGTCATATTGTCCTGGGTGTCCTTCTAGGATTGTTGGGCTAATAAGATGAAGTAACACACACATCAGGTATTCACACGAGGTGTGTATTTATTATAGCAACCATGAAATCGATGCTAACTGTTGCTGACATCCCCTGTGTTTTAGTATGTAGAACTGTTCAAGGCATACCTGGTAAGCAACAACCAGGTGAGAATAATCTGAGGTAGTCCAGGAGTCCTTTGCAGGGGCTTTGTGGTGTCTCTCCTGTAGGATGTTTGTGAAAGTCAAAGAAGACAGCACTGAGATGTGCTTTGTAAAGGGCTGTGCACGCCTTTGAAGTTACTACTAGTGATGCACTGGATATTAACATAGTGGCTATCAACTAATTATTCTGGTAGTTAAATTTAAATGCAGAAAAGGAGCTGTAAACCTGCTTTCTAAGCCTCAAGACTTTATGCTTTGTTTGGCTCCACCAACAACTTGTGAGGAATAGTTTAGTTAGTTTGAGAAGGGGCCAAGTTTCAAAATGTACCCTAGAACATAGTGTTGCTTGCTACTTTTTGAAGTTTTACGTTATGTAATTTTGATCATGCAAAAGAAGATGTGAAATATGTGGGGATGTTAAGAAATGTAGTCACAAAGCAGACATACATGAGCCCACTGTTTAACTTCTGAGAAGGCTCCTGGGCCATCTTCCCCAATCCACTGACATTACTGACAAATAAAAGGTTTGCCCCACGGGAGGCTGTTTCATGTGAAGTCAGTCCAACAAGCACAATGTGAGCAGTTCTTCAGACATTTTTCTGTAGCACAACGTGGTTGATTCCATTTTCACTATAATCTTGGAGTATTTCCGCTCTGCTCTTCCTTGCTTTAGAGCCCTCAGGAAATGGAATTGCAGCCTCCTGTGTTCTCACTGGCCTGCCTGCTTGGGGTTCCTTGCTCCCAAACCCTGGTGTCTTGAGGCTGGCTCTGAGTCTTCCTCACCTTTAGAGCCCAGCACGTGGTGCCTCTGAGATGACCTGATGCTCAGCCGATCTGAATGAAGCATGAATGGATGAGTGTGTGTGATTTCTCCTACCATGTCTTTCTGAGGAAGCTGCACACGTGCAGTGTAGACTTTGCAATGAGTGCTGATGGGAACTGTTGCTGGGGATGTGTTAAGAGCTACTTACAGCATCTTCACATTTGTTGCTCCTCTTTCTCACATGGTCTCTGGACGCTCTGGACTTCTTGTCTTATATACCTTTTAAAATATCTTTTTCTTATCTTTTTGGGTTTTTTTTGTTTAAAAACATCCATGACAATCAACAGAACACAAGTATTGACAGATGACAGAAAAGATAAAGTTTGATGTATGATTTATATGGTTAATCCCTTTAAAATCATCACTTAACTCAAGAATTAATTTTTAAATAAAACTATTTAAATTTATTTTATTAAAAATAAAATACATAAATTTGAAAATAAAATGTTTTTAAAATATTTATTTATTTGAAAGAATTACAAGGAAAGAGAGAGAGAAAGAGAGATCTTCTATCCACTGATTCACTCAAATGATAGCGCTGGCCAGGGACGAGCCATGTCAAAGCCAAGAGCTTCATCTGGGTCTCCCTCATGTGTGGCAGGGGCCCTGGCATTTGGACCATCTTCTGCTTCTTTTCTCAGGTCAGTCTCAGGGAGTTGGATGGGAAGTAGAGCAGCCAGGGCACAAACCGGTGCTTATATGAGATGTCAGCATCGCAGAAAGAGACTTAATGAGCTATGCTATCATGTTGACCCCAAGACATTAACTTTGGGCATTAAGCAAAATGATACTTTATAATGTGCCATGTGAGTTCTCTTTGTATGCTCCTGTGTCACATGCTTTTATCAGGAGATACAAAATGCCTAGTTCTCTTGACATTAGCAACTGCTGATGTTCAACAATTTTATATACTGTCACATGTGGTTTCATAGGCAAGTATACTTTCTGAGAAATGTGTGATTAGGTAATTTTGTGTGAACACCACAGAATGTGTTTACAGAAACCCAGATGGTACAGCCCACTTTATAATGTGGGCTATGTGGTATACCACATTGCTTCTGTGTAACAGGTTAGTGTCAAATATTGTAGCCAATTCTAACACAGAGCTAAGTGTTTATGTATCTAAACATAGAAAAGGTAGAGCAAAAGATATGAGGCAATAAGAATTTTCCAAATCCATTGTGATCTTAAGGTACTTAAGGTGGTCTGTCCTAACAAATGTTGTCATGTGGTGAGTGATTGTGCTGATTCTTTTGCAGTTGCAAAATGAAGATATTAAATTTCTATCATTTTGTTTCCCTTTTGTCTATCATTGGTTACCCAGATATAAAATATATATGTATGTATACATACACATAGTATATGCTATTTTTAAAAAGATTTATTTTATTTTTATTTGAAAGGCAGAGTTACAGAGGGGAGACACAAAGAGAGGTCTTCCATCTGTTGGTTCATTTCCCAAATGGCCACAACAGCTGGAGCTAAGCTGATCTGAAGCCAGAAGTCAGGAGTTTCTTGCGGGTCTCCCAAGTGGGTACAGAACCCCAAGAACTTGAGCCATCCTCTGCTGTTTTTCCAGGCCGTAAAAAAAAAAAAGCTGGACCAGAAGTGCAGCAGCTGGGGCACAAACCAGGATCCAAATGTGGGGGCTGGTGTCACAGGTAGAGGATCAGCCTCCCAAGTCACTGTACCTGTACCAACCCCATAAGTTCTTTTTTTTTAAATTTATTTATTTTTATTGGACAAGCAGGCATACAGAGAGAGAGACATACAGAAAGAGTTTCCATTTGCTGGTTTACTCCCCAAGTGACCACAGCAACCAGAATTGAGCTGATATGAAACAAGGTGTTTCTTCTGGGTCTCCCATGTGGCTGCAGAGTCCTGCATTATGTGGTACTTGACTACTTTCTCGGGCCACAGGCAGGGAGCTGGAAGGGAAGTGGAGCAACAGGGACACGAACCAGTGCCCATAGGGGATCCTGGTATGTGCAAGGTGAGGACTTTAGCCACTAGGCTACTGTGCTGCTCCCACCCGTAAATTCTTGATGTTTTCATTTACTTACTCAGTTTTCAAGATGGTTAATTGGTTTCTTGTCATTAACAGAAGATGGCCCTTTAGAAAAATCACATGCAAACTTTCAGTGGATTTAAGCATATATGAAGGTTTTCAGTCTGCTGTAGCTGTTCTGATTGAAGTTTAAATTGTCTCATTTTGGTCCAGTGACAGCCTCTTCAAGTTGGTCTTGAATCATTTTGATGGAATCCTTGTCATTTTCACGTTCCTTTACTGCCCTGTAATGATGCCCCAGGTTCATTGTATGTACTTTTTTCCCCCTAGTGCTGGATTCTATCATTTCTCTAAAAGGCTTGGTTTTATTAAATTAGAAATGTTATTTCCGAACCACAGACAAGTGCTAAAAGATGCCCAATGCCCCCAGGTTGATATTTCCTCTTCTTTTTTTTTTTTTTCCTTTCTTCCCAAAGGTCAGAAGTAGGAAATACGTGTGTGTGTGTACTTTTGTATATGATTCTTTTTAAAAGATGTTTTTGCAGATTTATTTTATTTAAGAAGCAGATTTACAGAGGGGAGAGACAGAAGAGAGATTCTTCATCTATTTGTACATGGTTCAAAAGGCCTCAATTGTGGGGAGTGGGCACCGGAGCAGACCAAATGAACATGAAAGGCCATTGCAGGATGGCGGCTGGCCCAGGGCCAGGAGGTGGGGTTGGTCTCGCCAGCAGGTAAACAGGAAGTCACAGGGATAGGCTGATGCCCTCGCTGTGATTATGTCATTGCTACTGGCCTATCAGGTAGCACCAAGTGGACCCACGGGGAGAAGTGATTGGTGGAGAGTAGCAGCTGCTAAAAGCAATAAGAAGAACAAGAAGAAAGGGGCAGCAGAGAGGGGTAGAAAAGCTAAGATCTTCAGGGAGAAAAGCTAAGGTGTACGGGGAGAAAAAGCAGAGAGGGGTACAAAAGCAATAAGACCTACGGGAACAAGAGAGGGGTACAAAAGCAGTACAAAAGCAGTAAGACCTACGGAGAGAAAAGTACAGGGAGAAAAGCAGCGGAGAAAGAGTATAAAAGCAGCTGCTTTTGGCAATAAGGGGTCCGGTTATAGTTCTGGCTTTTCCCAGAGTGTGCCGTGTAGGTAGTGTTGCTGCTGGTCGGCGACACTCAATGGCCAGAGCTGAGCCAGTTCAAAGCTGGGAGTAAGGAGTTTTTTCCAGATCTCTCACATATATGCAAGAATCCAAGGACTTGAATCATCCTCCGCTGTCTTCCCAGGCCATAAGCAGGGAGCTGGATGGGAAGTGAAGCAGCAGAAACACGAACCAGCACCCATAAGGGATGCTGGTCCCATTAGTGGAAGATTAGGATGCTATACTACAGCGTCCCTGAGATGATGATTTTTCTAAAAAGAAAATGTTTTAAAAAGTACTGTAAGGTTATTGGGATTCTGTCATATAATTTCAGTGTGTAAAACTCATGTTTGCAATGTTTATGTTTGCACTGCAATTATCTGCCTTAAATGTAACATGTGTCAATATGAGAGGAGAATCCTACTGGTTTGCAAAACTCTCTGGGTGTTTCTGATTATTTTATGTTCCAAGTTGGAGTATCCTGTTCCAAATTTCCAAGAGTCTGGGTTTATCAGTAAAATGTCCTCTCTTTACTGTTGTACCCTCGCCTTGCCAAGGGGAGAATGGGGTGGTATGGGTGGTAGCAGTATGGGGTAGCAAGGGGTGGGAGGTGAGGGGAGAGGC